TTCTTACATTTTGCGAATAATCGCACCAACTGTTGTCACCTTCTCACCAAGCTGCTTGGCGATGGTCTTGTAGCCCATTCCAGCCTTGTGTAAGTCTACAATCTTGTCCCTGACATCCTTGGAGAGCTCTTTGGTCTTGGCCATGGTGGAGAGTTTGGAATCTGATTGATTGATTGATTGCTTCTGTGGACAGGTGTCTTTTATACAGGTAACAAGCTGAGATTAGGAGCACTCCCTTTAAGAGTGTGCTCCTAATCTCAGCTCGTTACCTGTATAAAAGAGACCTGGGAGCAAGAAATCATTCTGATTGAGAGGGGGTCAAATACTTATTTCCTTCATTAAAATGCAAATCAATTTCTAACATTTTTGACATGCGTTTTTCTGGATTTTTTTGTTGTTATTCTGTCTCACTGTTCAAATAAACCTACCATTAAATTTATAGACTGATCATGTCTTTGTCAGTGGGCCAACTTACAAAATCAGCAGGGGATCAAATACTTATTTCCCTCACTGTACTTTGTATTGACCCACTTTTCTGTTGACCTTTCATGGCTTTTTTTAATGGGTCATGTTTTTTCAAATTTAGGATCACATTGAAGTAATAGGTAAACAACTGTGGGACGTTCCTTGGGACGTTAATGCAAGTTAAAAGTTCCGTTAAATATCAGTCTGACCGAAAAATGTGTTTGGAGTGTATTGTAAAAATACATTAGGGACTAGGGTTGGGCAATGTCAACCTTTGTCCTATCGTGATTATGTACCCATAAAACATTGTGATATACGATGCTATGACCCCAAATCAGCTAAAATGACAGTTGGGCTATAGCCTGTGCAGAGGCTAAGGGTAGGCAATGGCAAATCTGTTCTAATATTATTTTCTGGTGGAGGAGCAGAACAGGTTTGTGTGTGTCTGTCTGTGCAGCACTTACATGATGGAGCAGTGACTGTCGGATGAGGAATGGGCTGTCTTACCGTAGTGAGCTAGGTTATAGGCCTACATCATGGGCTGGATAGAAGCAGTCTACTATCTTCTACCAACTGGATAATTGCTTAATTTGCCTCATAAAATAAGATACAAATAAATAATATTGTTTGTTTTATCTCTCATAAAGCTATGATTGAGAATAGCTTAGGCAAGGGCTGGGTGATATATCGATTGGTGATATTCCAAATGCCTGTATCGCAAGAATCAAGGTGTTTTACATTTATTTATATATATATATATTTATTTTTTTAATGGGGTTTATGTCCGCTTGTTCTCATGTTGTCCTTTTGGTCTCGTCTCCTTCGCTCTTTCTGTGCTGTGTGCAACTTCCCATTTACACACACACAGACACACTAAGACCCCACTCCCGGCCACTCACAACAACTAAGATGAGAGATCCCTTCTTCCTCTCTGACAAGCTATTTCAAATTGCTATTTGCATTTGAGGTTTGGTCCAACAGAATCGGTCATATGGACACCGAAACACATTGAGACATTTTACTGTATTAGAGGAGAAGTTAACCTTTCTAAAGATACCCTTTTTGTCTCAACTCCTCCAATTGTGCGCAGAGCAGACACTACTAAAACGGGAGTATCAATGAACATTCATTGTAGAAAATTCATGCTCAATTTGTCGTGCACAGCATTGCGGTACCACGTACCGCTAGCAGCATTTTAGCCAAATACTGTTATACTAGCTGTCTAGTCTGTGTTTTATAAATGTGCAATAAGCATAAAACACAATTATATTAGGAATTGGCAACTCCTTCTCATTCTGAGAAATAAGATAGGCCACTTGATTTCAACATCTGAACAAAGTGGACAGTTGGAGACATAACAATTCAACTGTTCTACCTTGTTAGCTAGCAAATAAATCCAAGTTGGCTAAACTTGAAATATAAAGATCAGGTGGCTGCTGCCTACTCACTAGCGTGTGGGCTTGTGCTTGAGAGACCTGTGTTAATTTTCTATAATGCCTGCTACAAGAAGTTAGTCATTATTAGTGAATGTGCATTATTCATGGTTCTGGTTAAATTTGTAACAAAAAGGGAATTTTCATAGACTTGAAATATTATTGCAAAAAAGCAGGTTAACTATTTTGATGAAATAATTACATTATTAGTTGGTCTTATGGTTGTGGAAGGCTTATATTTAGCCTAGGTATAATTTCACAAGCCCTGAATTCATTATATTATTGGTGATTCTTTGAAGTGTGGTGTATTTGGCCTTTAATTGTGAAGCAAAGCTTATTTAGAGAGAGCGTTTTATATGCAGTACCAGTCAAGTTTGGACACACCTACTCATTCCAGGGTGTTTCTTTATTTTTACTATTTTCTACATTGTAGAATAATAGTGAAGACATCAAAACTATGAAATAACACACATGGAATCATGTAGTAACCAAAAAAGTGTTAAACAAATCAAAATATATTTTATATTTGAGATTCTTCAAAGTAGCCACCCTTTGACTTGATGACAGCTTTGCACACTTGGCATTCTCTCAACCAGTTTCATGAGGTAGTCACCTGGAATGCAATTAAATTAACAGGTGTGCCTTGTTCATTTGTGGAATTTCTTTCCTTAATGCATTTGAGCCAATCAGTTGTGTTGTGATAAGGTATACAGAAGATAGCCCTATTTGGTAAAAGACCAAGTCCATATTATGGCAAGAACAGCTCAAATAAGCAAAGAGAAATGACAGTCCATTACTTTAAGACATGAAGGTCAGTCAATACGGAACATTTCAAGAACTTTGAAAGTTTCTTCAAGTGCAGTCGCAAAAACCATCAAGCGCTATGATGAAACTGGCTCTCATGAGGACCGCCACAGGAAAGGAAGACCTAGAGTTACCTCTGCTGCAGAGGATAAGTTCATTAGTTACCAGCCTCAGAAATTGTAGGCCAAATAAATGCTTCACGGAGTTCAAGTAACAGACACATCTCAACATCAACTATTCAGAGGAGGCCGCGTGAATCAATTCTTCATGGTCTAATTGCTGCAAAGAAACCACTACTAAAGGACACCAATAAGAAGAAGAGACTTGCTTGGGCCAAGAAACATGAGCAATGGACATTAGACCGGTGGAAATCTGTCCTTTTGGTCTGATGAGTCCAAATTTGAGTTTTGTGGTTCCAACCGCCGTGTCTTTGTGAGACGCAGAGTAGGTGAATGGATGATCTCCGCATGTGTAGTTCCCACCGTGAAGCATGGAGGAGGTGGTGTGATGGTGTGGGGGTTCTATGCTGGTGACACTGTCAGTGATTTATTTAGAATTCAAGGCACACTTAACCAGCATGGCTACCACAGCATTCTGCAGTGATATGCCATCCCATCTGGTTTGCGCTTAGTGATCCAAAGGCTTCAGATCAGCTTGGCAAATGGCTGACAACAACCAGACCCTCTTACCCACAGAAGAGGGGGGTGGGGTTGGGGGCTGTGCCGGTTTTGACACCTTAACACTCGGTCGTAAATTAGGCAGGAGGGGAATCTCTCCTTAGCCTCTCAGTATTGGTAAAGGAATGTGCTTTGTCTCCAGAATACTTTTGCCGCTAAAACTTTTACGGACAAAAAGTGAACACTGGATCAATATTTCCAACATCAGAATGTGGGGAATGGTTAGTGGGGATCTAAAGATGTCCAAGCAGTCGTGCTGTTAGTCCGCTAGGGACTTTTTCTCATGTATTAAATCTGTATGCATTCTGTGTTTATTATTAAGTTGGCTAGTAAATGAACAATTAAGCCAATTTGTGTAGTGCTGAATCATAAGTAAAGCTGGGGTTCTTGCGGATCCAAGAATTCTGCGACCATTCAGAATGACGACTGAAAAGAGGTAATGAATGATACGTTGACTGTTTTATACATAGTGATAGGTAAATACCTTTTTAGAGTTTAATTCGGGAGATGGTAACTCTATAAACAACTTCTTCCGTGGTGCCCCAAATCCTAATGAGGTAATTGTTACATGATGAATTTAATCGAGTAACAATTAAACATAGTTGATTCGATAAATAACAGTCATCATATTAATGAAAGTCACGTCACGACATACTGTATACCGTGAATCGCCCCCATGAGTGAAAAAAATCTAGATACGATTTTGAAGCCATATCGCCCAGCCCTAGCTTAGGCTATAGACTTTCATTCTTGTTATTTTTGAAAGCCACAACAACTTTAGGACAACACCTTCGTAGACTAGAATATTTTGGGAAATAAGCTACTGTTCATAACTTTAACTTGTCTTAAAGCTTTTACGATAGGCCTAGTAGGAGGATAGGTTATTGGCCATTTGGTTTTAACCTCGCATGGAGGGATTTTCCTGGCCCGCATGGATAATTTATTTCTTAAGTTTAAACTTGATTTAACTTGTCATTCGATTTGTCTGTAGGCTATTGATATTGTTTGTTCACTCTCATTATTAGTCCTCTGGCTATCTTACGTTACATTCAACTCCGTTACATTCATTGTTTGATCTGTAAAAAGCCTTGCATAAATCGATGAAGCGTAGCCTTCAGTCATATAGCCTTATGATTTGAGAGAGAAGGGAATATAGTTAAGGAGTGTCCGTTATATAAAGAAATATAGCTTAATGCCCATGTATCCAACATAGAGAGAGAAACAACATTTTCTGACTGGACATTTTGCGCTGCTTTGGTGGAATTATCTGGTCTACCTTCCTCTCTTGCCTATATAACATGTTTATTAAAATAGGCTATAGCAAATAGGAATAGGAAAATTACTCAGTCATTTGTGTGCTGCCCTGCTGTGCGCTGCGATAGTTTTTAATTTATTTTTACTGCGCCGCGCCAGTCAAATTCAAATAGGCTAAACCATCGTCTGTCACCATCAACGATAGACGATTCTATCGTAATATCGCCCAACCCTAGTAGTGACCCCGATGTAGTGATCATGGTGGTTGTCCAAGGCTTTACTATGTATGGTCATTGCATTTTTGGTTGAGGAAACTAAAACGGAAGTGCTGTGACAGGATGTGTTGTCATGTCCACCTTTTGAAGAGATGCAGTATTACCTTACTGTCTGTAACCCCATCGACCCTACATCCAGGGCTCAGAGCTGTGGCGACAGCAGGCTTTGCTACTATCATCACTGGGGCTGCTGTTGGGCTTCTCCTTGGCTGTGGCTCTGCTGTCATAAAGCTGTAGTACATCTCACTGCAATTTCTGCCTTCTTAAATGAGCTTTTCCGTTTTTAGCGCTGCTCTATAATTTTTTGGGGCTTCATCGTATACCAGTGTCAGCACGATTTGTATAAATGTTCAGCAACAATTATTGGGTTACTTCAATTAAGCATTTACTCAGTGTGCAGTAAATCCACTCTGCTTTCACTGCCCATATCCAAGTGTGACTATTTATTGGCACTAATGGAAGGTTTCAGATTGACAGGGACATTGGCAGTTTTTGTACGTTTGGTACATTGGCAGTTAGCTACATTGTTACCTCTCTTGTCCATAGTTTTGTATTTGAGCTGCGTTCACTTCCGAACATAGAATGAAATGTTCCCTCATTCAGTCCGAACCTAATGTCTCTCATTGCAGATCTTGTAGGCCTAAGTTGAACGGTCATATTGGGAAATAAATGCTTAAGCCTGTTGTGTTTATCTCTTTAGGTTGCTGGAGACGGACAGTAAGTCCCTCCGCTCTGTTAACGGATCCAGACGTAACAGCGTCTCCAGCCTCGTGTCCAGCTCCTCAGCTTCCTCCAACCTGTCTCACCTGGAGGAGGACTCCTGGATCCTCTGGGGACGCATAGTCAATGAGTGGGAGGAGGTCCGCAAGAAGAAGGAGAAGCAGCTCAAGGTGAGACACTACTAGGCTATAGGTTCCTCTGGAAGAGTTAGACAACACTTTCGACCTGGGGAAACTGGTCCCAAATGGCTCCCTCCGCCTTTCCCTTGGCCTTAACCCTGGTTTTCAGTAAGGTGGAGGCAATATGGTGAAAGGTCCCCATGACACAGGTGACCAACGGTTGTCTCTGAGCCTATGTATACTTCGGAATAACTGCTAACCTTGTGCGTTAGTCGTACCATAATGCAATCCTGTTACTGTTATAAGACTGTGAAGGCTAGCTAGCAACAAGTAACTAACACAAATATTTGTAATCAATGAAGTTAGTCGACCTAGCCCGCACTGTACAACAGCTTCTATGTTTCATGTTGTAGATACTTTATTGTTCAGGACTAATTCCAAAGGCCAGCTACGTCCCTCAGTGACCCCTACTGTGGTTGTGTTGTCCTTGAACTTACGGTGTCAGTTCTGGTCTAGTTTTTGTCCTCAGTGCTCCCTGCAAACTGATAGTGTATAGTGCCCCTCTCTGGTCGCACAGGGGGAACTCCATTCAGATGTCAATGAAATGTCTCTTTTTATTGTCAATCTGAATTAATGATACATCAGGTTTGGAGTCCTTTTATGCATCAAGTTTGGGGTGTATAAGTAGCCTTGCATCGATACTGTTTGTGCTGAAGCCATATCTATTATTCTATAGTTGCTATAGCAGTGTTTTCCACTAGCGCCGGCTGTCAGCTATAAAGACGATTTACAGAGACATTTTCGTACGGGCACTTTTTCCACATCAATTAACTAGGCTATTTTTCAATTCGCTAGTCAGAAAGAAAGTCTGCAGAGCCCTCTCCCGCATCTTCTAGCAATCTATTGATAGGACGGGCGCCTGTCAGTCACAAAGTGAGCGATGACAGGGAAACACTGCTGGTTTGACAGTCTGCTGTCGATCCCGCCTTTCGGTACCTGGGTGTGTGTGTTGTGGTTGCAGTCGAATTTCTACACTGAGGGAGAGAGCATGAAATTGAAGACTACACACGTAAATTACATGCTATTTGTATTTGAGCAATATGATTGGCCATTCATTCAAGCACTATCATTCTCCCGTGAGTCACTTCTCAAGCAGTACATGAGTTGATGCCTTCACACGCGAGCTGTCCAGAGCAAAAACAAGTGGCCATCAATCTACTCACTGAGCTTATTTATTTTAGGGAAAGTGATTTACAAAAGTAAACCTTCAATAGTGAACATACAATAAATATGCTGCCTGCTGTTGATAGTCTGCTAAAGAAAGCTGCAAAAATACACCTAGCATTAGTCTTGGCTAGCCAACTGTAGCCATGTCTATCGCTTTTGAAGCGTTTTTCTTAAAGGGGCTTCTCAAAATGACATACTTTAATGCAACTAATACAATACAATTCTAAAGAATAGAGTAATGACTTGCATTACTAAATTATATTACACAGCTTTTTAATACATATCATAATAACCAAATGTAGCCTATTAACAGCTGAATATAGAGAGAAAGCATGCCAACCTATAGGTCTCGCATGACCCCAATGCATTTAAGAACTGCACCATGTCCGGGCCAGTAGAAATTCTGTTCGGCCCAGTAGATCTTTGGCCAACTGGCCTGACAGGGCCAGTGAGGGGGAAAAAAAGTGAATTTGATGAGTTATTTCCTGATATTTGCTGATTGAAAATACAATCTTGCATTAGACTGTACCAAAGGCCACCAAAATAGAGCTTGTTCAGTAAAAGATATCTTAATATTCCCGCCTGCCTGGGGGAGCCTGGCTGGCTACTTTTTCTATTTGGCTGGCTACTCCATGTTCTTGTTGAAAACACTGGCTATAGTACAGTGCGTTCAGAAAGTATTCAGACCCCTTGACTTTTTCCACATTTTGTTACGTTACAGCCTTATTCTAAAACTGATGAAATCGTTTTTTTCCTCGTCAATCTACACACAATACCCCATAATGACAAAGCAAAAACAGGTTTTTAGAAATTTTTGCAAATTTATTAAAAATAAAACAAGTAATCAGATTAACATTAGTATTCAGACCCTTTACTCAATACTTTGTTGAAGCGCCTTTGGCAGCGATTTCAGCCGTCTGGCCACTACCATAAATTCCTGATTTGGTGGAGTGCTGCAGAGATGGTTGTCCTTCTGGAAGGTTCTCCCATCTCCACAGAGGAACTCTGGAGCTCTGTCAGAGTGACCATCGGGTTCTTGGTCACCTCCCTGACCAAGGCCCTTCTCCCCCGATTGCTCACTTTGGCCGGGCGGCAAGCTCTAGGAAGAGTCTTAATGGTTCCTAACTTCTTCCATTTTTAAGAATGATGGAGGCCACTGTCTTCTTGGGGACCTTCAATGCTGCAGAAATGTTTTGTACCCTTCTCCAGATCTGTGCCTCGACACAATCCTGTATCGGAGCTCTACGGACAATTCCTTCGACCTCATGGCTTGTTTTTGCTCTGACATGCACTGTCAACTGTGGGACCTTGTATAGACCGGTGTGTGCCTTTCCAAATCATGTCCAATCAATGAATTTACCACAGGTAGCAAAGGGTATGAATACTTATGCAAATAAGTATTTCTGTTTTATTTTTAATACATTTGCAAAAAAAATCTAAACCTGTTTTCGCTTTTCATTATGGGGTATTGTGTGTAGATTTAAGGAAAAATCAATTTTAGAATAAGGCTGTAACGTAACAATTTGGAAAAAGGGAAGGGGTCTGAATACTTTCTGAATGCGCTGTATCTGCCATATGGGGCTAGTGTAGAAGTGGGAGAGAATCCTCAAAAGTCATACAGTGCCTTGCAAAAGTATTCATTCCCCTTGGCGTTTTTCCTATTTTGTTGCATTACAACCTCTAATTTAAATGGATTTTTATTGGGATTTCATGTAATGGACATACACAAAATAGTCCAAATTGGTGAAGTGAAATGAAAAAAAAACTTGTTTAACAAAATTCTAAAATATAAATAATGGAAAAGTGGTGCGTGCATATGTATTCACCCCCTTTGCTATGAAGCCCCTAAATAAGATCTGGTGCAACCAATTACCTTCAGACATAATTAGTTAGATTGCACACAGGTGGACTTTATTTAAGTGTCACATGATCTCAGTGTGTGTGTGTGTGTGTGTGTGTGTGTGTATATATATATATATATACACACACACAGTGCTATGAAAAAGTATTTGCCCCCTTTCTAATTTTCTCTACTTTTGCATATTTGTGATACTGAATGTTATCAGATCTTCAACCAAAACCTAATATTAGATAAAGGGAACATAAGTGAACAAATAACACAACAATTACAAATTTATTTCATTTATTTCATAAACAAAGTTATGCAACACCCAATTCCCCTGTGTGAAAAAGTAATTGCCCCCTTACACTCAATAACTGGTTGTGCCACCTTTAGCTGCAATGACTCCAACCAAATGCTTCCTGTAGTTGTTGATCAGTCTCTCACGTCACTGTGGAGGAATTTTGGCCCACTCTTCCATGCAGAACTGCTTTAACTCAGTGACGTGTGGGTTTTCAAGCATGAACTGCTCGTTTCAAGTCCTGCCACAACATCTCAATTGGGATTAGGTCTGGACTTTGACTAGGCCATTCCAAAACTTCAAATTTGTTGCTTTTTAGCTATTTTCATGTAGACTTGATTGTGTGTTTTGGATCATTGTCTTGCTGCATGACTCAGCTGCGCTTCAGCTCACAGAAGGATGGTCTGACATTCTCCTGTAGAATTCTCTGATACAGAGCAGAATTCATGGTTCCTTCTATTAAGGCAAGTCGTCCAGGTCCTGAGGCAGCAAAGCATCCCCAAACCATCACACCACCACCACCATGCTTGACCTTTGGTATGATGTTCTTACTGTGGAATGCAGAGTTTGGTTTTCGCCAGGCATTACTGGAACCGTGTCGTCCAAAAAGTTATACTTTTGAATCATCTGTCCATAGAAAGTTCTTCCAAGAGTCTTCATGATCATCCAGGTGCTTTTTGGCAAACTTGAGTCCATTTTTTGGACGAGATGGGTCCCATTATGCCTGGTGAAAACCAAACATTGCATTCCACAGTAAGAACATCATACCAAAGGTCAAGCATGGTGGTGGTGGTGTGATGGTTTGGGGATGCTTATGTTTTGGTTGAAGATCTGATAACATTCAGTGTCACAAATATGCAAAAGTAGAGAATATTAATACTTTTTCATAGCACTGTATATATACACCTGTTCTGAAAGGCCCCAGAGTCTGCAACACCACTAAGCAAGGGGCACCACCAAGCAAGCGGCACCATGAAGACCAAGGAGCTCTCCAAACAGCTCAGGGTCAAAGTTGTGGAGAAGTACAGATCAGGGTTGGGTTATAAAAAAATATCAGAAACTTTAAACATCCCACGGAGCACCATTAACTCCATTATTAAAAAATGGAAAGAATATGGCACCACAACAAATCTGCTAAGAGAGGGCCACCCACCAAAACTCACAGACCAGGCAAGGAGGGCATTAATCAGAGAGGCAACAAAGAGACCAAAAATAACCCTGAAGGAGCTGCAAAGCTCCACAGCAGAGATTGGAGTATCTGTCCATAGGACCACTTTAAGCCGTACACTCCACAGAGCTGGGCTTTACAGAGAGTGGCCAGAAAAAAGCCATTGCTTAAAGAAAAAAATAAGTAAATGTGTTTGGTGTTTGCCAAAAGGCATATATGTGGGAGACTCCCCAAACATATGGAAGAAGGTACTCTGGTCAGATGAGACTAAAATGGAGCTGTTTGGCCATCAAGGAAAACGCTATGTCTGGCGTAAACCCAACACCTCTCATCACCCCGAGAACACCACCATGTTTTTCATCGGCAGGGACTGGGAAACTGGTCAGAATTGAAGGAATGATGGATGGCGCCAAATACAGGGAAATTCTTGAGGGAAACCTGTTTCAGTCTTCCAGAGATTTGAGACTGGGACGGAGGTTCACCTTCCAGCAGGGAAACATTTACTTGTCTTGGAATGGCCTAGTCAAAGCCCAGACCTCAATCCAATTGAGAATCTGTGGTATGACTTAAAGATTGCTGTACACCAGTGGAACCCATCCAACTTGAAGGAGCTGGAGCAGTTTTGCCTTGAATGGGCAAATATCCCAGTGGCTAGATGTGCCAAGCTTATAGAGACATACCCCAAGAGACTTGCAGCTGTAATTGCTGCAAAAGGTGGCTCTACAAAGTATAGACTTTGGGGGGGTGAATAGTTATGCATGCTCAAGTTTTCTGTTTTTTGTTTGTTTCACCCCAAAAAATATTTTGCATCTTCAAAGTGGTATAGGCATGTTGTGTAAAATCAAATGATACAAACCCCCCAAAAATCCATTTTAATTCCAGGTTGTAAGGCAAGAAAATAGGAACAATTTCAAGGGGGGGTGAATACTTTCGCAAGCCGCTGTAACAGGGCCTTAGCTACATGACTCTGGTATTTCACAATTTCCAGAGAAGAGGCCTTAGCTACATCACCTCCATGTGACCAGACAGTTGCAAGACAGCTTCTAACTCCTATTAATCATCACATTGAGCTCTTCAACAAAGAGAATGCTCAACTGACATTTGCTTTTTCCTCTGTTGGCGTAGTTGTGTGTGTTTTAATTGCAAGGCAGGAGGAAAACTGAGCATTCTACTGTTCTTTTGTATCAGCAAAACGGATATTCTCAATTTGTGACCGACCACCTCTTTTCAGTCTTATGTTGCAAAATTTGAAATGTTTTTATTTATTTATTTTTTACATTGGATAAAAGTACAAACTCAGAGCTACAAAATGGCATATCATACACTGCAGTTGAGGAGCATTGGGAAAGTAATTCTGGTTTGAAAGTTGATAAACTTGTAACCCCGCTTTTGAGAAAATGGCGCTTCAATGTTTTGATACACCTACTGCAGAGCTCTTCTTTGTCTACACCCATTCAGCATCATTCACACCGTCTTAAGCCCAACCATCTCTTTTAAGGATTCACATGAGGCCATGTGCTAAACAGAGTGAGTAAGGTAGTGTAGTTTCATGAAATACAATAGATGGCCGTAATCACACCCAGACACACCTGATTAACTTGATGGGTCATGTAATCATCTGGCGAAGTGGAGTCTTTTGTTTAGACATGTAGATAGTTGGCTAGCTAGCTAAACAATGAACCATAATCCCAACCCATACAGTACTAGAAATAGAAACAGATTGTCATAGCTAGCCACCATGCATGAAATGCTGTAGTATGAATCTGCAGGTAGCTAAAGCTAACCAACCAGGTTTAATGTTAGCTAGCTAACATTAGGCTATAAGTAGCAATGCAAAGGTTTTTCTGAGATGCAAATAATATTACTACACAGATCATACACGTAACGTTAGCTAGTAAGTCAGCCAGCTAACATTAGCTAGCTAGCAAACAGTACGCTTTAACTTGCAATGAAAATGACTTTCTGCTAAATTCAGTTCTCCATTGCTACTATATCTTTCAAAAATGCTGCGGTAGCACGGATTATCTACACATACTGAACAGCTCATGTTATAAACTGCAGCATGGCTTCAATCCGAACTCATCTACATGGCAGATCAATCCGAACTCATCTCTCGGCATATCCAGCCCATCCATTATCTCAGCCAATCATGGCTAGCGGGAAGGATCCTGTCTTTTTCCGTGGCTAAACCAACTAGGCTCGTAATTTAACGGTTTTATTCGTATTTACAGATGGCATACAAGTTTGTTATTAAGGCACATGAAAGTTCACATATTCCAGAAGGCATTTCTACAGAAATATGCATTTTATTAAAAATAAGTTTAAAAACTTCAAATGCCTCTCCTGTGAAGTAGGGTCTTGCGACATGTGCCTAGCTTCCTGAAATAGGTTCACATTTTAACCTAGTAGTGATGTATTCCTCATGTATTCAATGCATCATATTACCCCTGGACCTGATTTCCAAGAGTGCTCCAGACAATGACACAAATGGTACCCTATGCCCTACATAGTGCACTACTTTTGACCAGAGCTCTATGGGCTGTGGTCAAAAGTAGTGCACTAGTTAGGGAATAGGGTGCCATTTGGGACAGAGTGCTGAGTGAACACCAACCAGAGTCAGAGGAGCTTGCACCGTAATGTAGTGACAGGCTGAGTAATGGGAGGTGGTAGTTTTCCAAATGTATTCACAGCTGTATGCGTTATTCATGAGTTTCCTCTTGCATGTGTGTGTGAGAGTATCATCCAGTGGAGGGAGTGTGTCAGGGTTTCCGTTAGGAAAATGTGGCACCGGAAATTTGACCGACAGCATTTTAATTTACCGGACATTTGAGAAATTTACCGGACCCATATGCATTGGGTGCGTAACCTGATTAGGGCGTCCACCCACGGTGCTCAGAATGACAGAAATCACATTTAGATTATGGCCATTCAAATTAACAGAACATGCAATTTGAGGATGCAACGATGTGCGGTCCTTCTTACAGAATTCTGATGTGCACTTTGAAGCTGTTAGAAAAACTGTCCACATTTCCTTTTCCGCCGCCAACAAGACGAGTAACTTACAGCAAAATCACTAGCCTATGTCAATCTACTATCCCCCATAGTAGAAAAGTTTACATAATCTATTGGTCAGCTTGTTAAGAAATAAATAGTCTATTCCAAACAGACTCCAGGACAGTTGTGGGACGTTAGATCCCAAATTCATGAGGGGAGATCTAATATGCAGCAACTAGCAGGAGTTTCTAATATGAATAAGATTGTGCCTTTTGGCTACTGGACAATGAAAGAAAGGTTATTTAAAATAATTGCCTCCACAGATATGGTCTAGATTTTGTCAAGGCTACTTTGAAGCAAGGTAAGACATGCCTCATATGTAGTAAAATGTTCAGGTTTCAAACAATTAAGTATATGTTTTCAAAATACGTACTGCCTCCAGCTCATTGCAAAGTGGTGTGTGATGTGCTGAGAAGCCTGCCTTCCATTGCCTCTGCATTTGCTGTTTGATATGCTGTAGCAACAGCTCTTGCGCTGTTTGACAGATTTTCCACTCAAAGGCTCTGTAACTGTATGCTGTAGGCATGTGATAAATAAAACACATAAGAAATATACTTTAGTCTACACTCGCATCAATTTAATTCCACTAAATTATGCAGATTAACCTATAGACCGATAAGCATGACCAGTCAAATGTATATACATCAATGAATAAGCTAAAAAGCATTATCTTGCAATATAATTTTTTATTCTCCCAGTCAATTGGCCGGTACCAATTTTTTTAATGGCCAAAAGCCGGCTATTACCAGCTAATGGAAACCCTTGTGTGTGTGTGTGTGTGTGTAATGCAGTGGTGAGATAGGGAAACGGAACGCAGAAGTGGAATGAATGAGCTGAGAGCCACAAAGTAGGCTACATATTTTCCTTCTAGGAACGTACAGTAGGCTTACTGTAAGAGTGTATTGTTTCCTTTACAAGGCTGGGACTGTCTAGGATGACCTCAGAGAAAGGGAGAGAGATCCCCTGACCACACACAGACACGCACTCTCACGCTAACAAGCAACACAATCCAGTGTTCCCTGTCTGCAGAGGAAAGGTCTCAATCAAGTCACATCAGCAGTAATTTGCAAGAACAACATTTCACTCTGCACAAGGCCTTGCTGACTAGATTATATTTAGTGGTGGAAAATTGTATTATGATGACTGGGGTACATGCTGTGCTGTGGAGAAAAACACATTGGAGCATAGCAGCACACAGAGAGACACATGATTTAGTTTATTCTGAACACCATCATAAGATGTTTCATTCTATGTGGATACCAGTATATTCCTTTGTATATACAGTGGGGGAAAAAAGTATTTAGTCAGCCACCAATTGTGCAAGTTCTCCCACTTAAAAAGATGAGAGAGGCCTGTAATTTTCATCATAGGTACACGTCAACTATGTCAGACAAATGGAGAAAAAAAAATCCAGAAAATCACATTGTAGGATTTTGAATGAATTTATTAGCAAATTATGGTGGAAAATAAGTATTTGGTCACCTACAAACAAGCAAGATTTCTGGCTCTCACAGACCTGTAACTTCTTCTTTAAGAGGCTCCTCTGTCCTCCACTCGTTACCTGTATTAATAGCACCTGTTTGAACTTGTTATCAGTATAAAAGACACCTGTCCACAACCTCAAACAGTCACACTCCAAACTCCACTATGGCCAAGACCAAAGAGCTGTCAAAGGACACCAGAAACAAAATTGTAGACCTGCACCAGGCTGGGAAGACTGAATCTGCAATAGGTAAGCCGCTCGGTTTGAAGAAATCAACTGTGGGAGCAATTATTAGGAAATGGAAGACATACAAGACCACTGATAATCTCCCTCGATCTGGGGCTCCACGCAAGATCTCACCCTGTGGGGTCAAAATGATCACAAGAACGGTGAGCAAAAATCCCAGAACCACACGGGGGGACCTAGTGAATGACCTGCAGAGAGCTGGGACCAAAGTAACAAAGCCTACCATCAGTAACACACTACGCCGCTAGGGACTCAAATCCTGCAGTGCAAGACGTGTCCCCCTGCTTAAGCCAGTACATGTCCAGGCCCGTCTGAAGTTTGCTAGAGTGCATTTGGATGATCCAGAAGAGGATTGGGAGAATGTCATATGGTCAGATGAAACCAAAATATAACTTTTTGGTAAAAACTAAACTCGTTGTGTTTGGAGGACAAAGAATGCTGAGTTCCATCCAAAGAACACCATACCTACTGTGAAGCATGGGGGTGGAAACATCATGCTTTGGGGCTGTTTTTCTGCAAAGGGACCAGGACGACTGATCCGTGTAAAGGAAAGAATGAATGGGGCCATGTATCGTGAGATTTTGAGTGAAAACCTCCTTCCATCAGCAAGGGCATTGAAGATGAAACGTGGCTGGGTCTTTCAGCATGACAATGATCCCAAACACACCGCCCGGGCAACGAAGGAGTGGCTTCATAAGAAGCATTTCAAGGTCCTGGAGTCGCCTAGCCAGTCTCCAGATCTCAACCCCATAGAAAGTCTTTGGAGGGAGTTGAAAGTCCGTGTTGCCCAGCGACAGCCCCAAAACATCACTGCTCTAGAGGAGATCTGCATGGAGGAATGGGCCAAAATACCAGCAACAGTGTGTGAAAACCTTGTGAAGACTTACATAAAACTTTTGACCTGTGTCATTGCCAACAAAGGGTATATAACAAAATATTGAGAAACTTTTGTTATTGACCAAATACTTATTTTCCACCATAATTTGCAAATAAATTCATTAAAAATCCTACAATGTGATTTTCTGGATTTTCTTTTCTCATTTTGTCTGTCATAGTTGACGTGTACCTATGATGAAAATTACAGGCCTCTCTCATCTTTTTAAGTGGGAGAACTTGCACAATTGGTGGCTGACTAAATACTTTTTTCCCCCACTGTAAACACATTCAGAAAACAAGGCCTACATGTTTTCCTTCAAAGGCTGTTCTCGTGTTACGTTAATGATTAGAGAAAGTTCTGCAAAATCATTAATATACATTGAAAGCGATCTATGGACAAGGTCGGATAAACTGCAAACCACACTTTGGTTTAGTTACTGCCACCAATTGGTAATATTAGCATTTTCGGACCAAAGTCAATACTGATTATATTTTTCTTCTCCCCAACAGGATCTGGTCAGAAAAGGGATCCCCCACCACTTCCGGGCGATAGTATGGCAGTTGCTATGCAATGCCCAGAACATGCCTATCAAAGACCAGTACTCTGAGCTGCTGAAGATGGTATCACCCTGCGAGAAGCTGATTCGCCGGGACATCGCCCGGACCTATCCTGAGCATGAGTTCTTTAAGGAGGACAGCTTGGGACAGGAAGTACTCTTCAATGTCATGAAGGTGAATGCTTTATAGGTTTGCAACAAAAAAAAAATATATATCCCGGTTGGAGAATCAAAAGGGAGTAAACTGCGAGGGAATCCTCTAACCTGGAACTCTTCAACTGGGATTTAAAAAAATACGAATTTGGAAAAAGTGACCAGAATTTTGCAACCCTAGTGTTTTGTTTCAAACCTATACCCGCAACAGATTGCTTTAGTGTTGTCTGGAATTGGTTTAGCGGTTAGCTCCGCCGCCTTCAGCACATACACTGAGGATACCAAACATTAGGAATGCCTTTCTAATATTAAGTTGCACTCCCCCTCCCCCCACCTACCTTTTGCCTCAGACTTGCCTCAATTCATCAGGGGCATTGTCTCTACAAGTTTTCGGAAGCGTTCCACAGGGATGCTGGCCCTTGTTGACTCCAATGCTTCCCACAGTTGTCAAGTTGGCTGGATTTCCTTTAGGTGGTGGACCATTCTTGATACACACGGGAAACTGTTGAGCGTAAAAAACCCAGCAGCGTTGCAGTTCTTGACCCCCCCCCCCCTTGTCTTGCCCATTCACCCTCTGAATGGCACACATACACATTCCATGTCGCTTAAAAATCCTTCTTTAACCTGTCTCCTCCTCATCTACACTGATTTGAAGTGGATTCAACACATTACATCAATAATGGGTCATAGCTTTCACCTGGATTCACCTGGTCATGGAAAGAGCAAGTGTTCTTAATGTTTTGTATACTCAGTGTATAGTATTCATAACTGGAATGAACCCTGGACCATCGTTCGACAAATCTTTCCTATCTTTCCTGTCTGTCTCCTACTATCTGTCCTATTAGCCTGGTCCCAGATCCGTTTGTGCTCTTGGCAGGATAGCACAAACAGACTGGCACTCAGCCAACTGTCCTGTCAATAGAAGATGAAGAAGAACATTGCATTAGAGCACTGCTTTTATTCTTCTCATGACCCAGAGGCAGAATTGTTCAAAAAAGCGGTTTCTCAATACAATGGAGTAGTAAGTAATTCAGTAGGTGCTTCGTGCTGAATTGCTTGAATACAGGGCAGAAAGTGTTGAGTCCACAGTTACACCTTGACCCTGGAAAACCTTAGGTGGGCAGTTTCTCATATAGACCCAGGCTTGCATTTTGGTCAAAAGGAGTGCACTATGTAGGGTGTAGGGTGCCATTTGGGAATTGGGATGCAGACACAGAGTGCTTAGCTCTCTTCTCATGACCATGGCTGATCTGAGGTCACTTCCTGTTGTTGTTGCAGGCCTACTCTCTGGTGGACCGGGAGGTCGGTTACTGTCAGGGAAGTGCTTTCATCGTCGGACTGCTGCTCATGCAGGTAATAATGATCCTAAGACACACACATGCTGTGTTATGGTCACATGCAACCTGCCACTACACACATCAACAAAGAATCATTAGATTGACCAGAGTGTTTTTCATGTGATGTGTGATTTGCACCAGACTGTCACTGGTCAATTGTGTGGTGGTGATTAACCTGTATTATGATATGTATGATTTTGTATTGTGTGAAATGTGTATTTTATGTATATGAGGAAGACATTTTTTAGTAAGACAGGTTTAATTAAGTTGTGAGGTCTCTTAAAGGCTGGTTTTCCAGACACAGATTAAGCCTAGTCCCGGACTAAAACACATTCTCAATGAAAAATCTCCATTGAAGATATATTTTAGTCTAGGACTAGGCTTAATCTCTCTCTCTGTGTGTGTGTGTGTGTGTGTGTGTGTGTGTGTGTGTGTGTGTGTGTGTGTGTGTGTGTGTGTGTGGTCTAGATGGTGTATGAGGAGGTCTTTTGTTGAAGGTTTAAGGAAACTGTTTGATGATCTTTGTGTTTGTTTGGTGTGCGTCACCCTCACCAGATGCCCGAGGAGGAGGCGTTCTGTGTGTTCGTGAAGCTGATGCAGGACTACAGACTGAGAGAACTGTTCAAACCCAGTATGGCTGAGCTGGGACTCTGCATGTACCAGTTTGAGTTTATGATCCAGGTAAGACCTGATATGGGTTCGGTACATGAATGAATGAATGACAAACCTTTTACAGAGCAATATTGATGCACAGCAGCACGCTCCAAGACTCCTTAGAATGTTGATTTAGTATGACAATATGAATAAAAATGATATATTTAATAATTTAGCAGACACTTTTATCCAGAGTCTTACAATTAGTAAATGTGACATCTTTATTTAGGATTATATATTTTATTATATTCATGTCTCCCTCTATCTCCGACACACCGTTCCACCCCCTCCTTTAGGAACTTCTCCCAGACCTCCATATCCACTTCCAGGCCCAAAGTTTCCACACCTCTATGTACGCCTCCTCCTGGTTCCTCACCATCTTCCTCACCTCCTTCCCTCTCCCTGTTGCTACTAGGATCTTTGACATCTTCATGTTAGAGGTGAGTCCAGTTAAAGGTGCAATCCCCATCCCCCAACTGTATGCCAAAACAGGCGGCAGGGCTGCCATTTTGCTGATAAACTAATCCCAGATTGTAGCTTTAAAGAACGTCTGATTTACTCATGTTTGACAATCTACTTCTAGTCAAGTGAGTCCAGAATAGTTTTTATTACAGCCAACACAAGGGTCTGTGAGGGAATGCAAGCAATTGGCGCCCACTGGTGGCCTTGGCATAAAGGACACATTGGAATATCTTGTGGACTAAACTTCAATTTCACCTTGGTAACGCAGTGTTCTGTGCGGTACTAGATAATGTAATGTTATGATAATGTAATGCTATGACAATGTAATGATAATGTAATGCTTGTCTCAGGGTCTGGAGATAGTGTTCCGTGTGGGGCTGGCCATCCTACAGATGAACCAGGTAGAACTCGAACAGCTAGACATGGAGGGAATGTTACAGGTATGAGCAGCCATAACCATTGGAATTAGAACCCTGTCTGAGTTAATGCACACAATGATCCATTCAATTCAAACTTTTTTCATCCAAGAGGGGCAATTATTGCCGGCAGGCATAAGATACATAGTCTGGTCCCAGATCAGTTTGTTCTGTTTGTGACAATGACCGTAGGCGTTGGCAAGACTGCACAAACTGATCTTGGACCAGGCTATAGGATACAGATTGAAAGACATTAAACCTACACTTGAAGTTGTGTGAGCATATCTGTCTCATACTCACCCAATCGTTACGTCTCTCCCTGCTGTGCTGTAGCACTTTCAGAGGGTCATCCCCCACCAGCTGGAAAGTGGACCAGACAAGGTCATCCTTGCTGCTTATAACGTCAAGTACAACGCCAAGAAGATGAAGAAGTGAGTAGTACGCTTCTGCTCGCTCTTTGGGCTCTAGGCCTGGTTACGGTAAAAGCACGTCTGTGACTGCAGATGTAATTGATTGATATGTTCCTTGAGCTGTCATGGCAACAGTAGTTCCAGAGGGATGGAGATAGGTGCTAGCTGCAAGTACACGTGGTGCCAGTGTGCTGTAATGATGCTGTATGACTCCTGTTTTCAGGTTAGAAAAGGAGTACACTACAATCAAAACTAAGGAGATGGAGGAGCAGGTGGAGATTAAGGTGAGTGGTGGAGCAGTAGGCTGAAACATGTTTTAGACTTACCATGATATCAGTCAAGGCAGTAGTATAGTTCACTCTTATAGACATCAGTACAGGTCAATTTGATCACTATTAGCAGTTGATCACTATAACCGCACTCCATAAACTGAGTTCACTGTACTTAAAACCCCAGGTATGTATGATATTTGGAATAATTATATTTTATTTGTGTTCTGTGTCCTTGTGTTGCAGAGGTTGCGCACAGAGAACAGACTGCTGAAACAGAGGATAGACACACTGGAGAAAGTGAGTGAAACGAAGGAGGTGGAGGAGGGTGGTAAACAGGTTGAACCATGGCTCTCCTTGCCATCCTATCTCATGACACCAGTCATAATATTAAGCCATATTATAACAGTGAACCCTTTGTCAGGGCCATTCACACAACAAGACCGTAACCCCGACATACATTAACCCATCAAGTGCTTGTTCATGCATCATGTGTCTGTCGTTGGTCACTAAAGACACATGGGTCTTGTTGTTGCTAACTGGGCTGCGCTGGTGTGGTCTGTCTGTCCAATTTACAAGACAACACTAGAATTCTCACTCACTGACAGAGTGTATATCTCATTGGATAAAAGGATCCTAGTTCGCTTTGGAATGCAAGTCTTACATTTAGATGCATGTCTCAGTCTTGATCCACACTCAGGATCAGGTAAAATTAAGATCACTTTATTGGTCGATTGCACACAAGGTCCAACCAAATATTGACTTCGCTTTTAACCCAACCCCTCCGAATGAAACATGCATACACATACAGGTTTTTGGAGAGGTGCGGGGGGTTGCCACACTGGACACCCAGGGAGCTGTTTGTGTGGGGTGTTAAGTGCCTTGCTCAAGGGCACAATGGCAGGCAATGGCATCTAGGATTTGATACCAGCAACCCTCCTGTTGCCAGCTCACTTCACGTCAGACCCTCTGAGACTGGAGCTGGCTGTGGAGCTCTAAAAGGCTACATTCAGTGATGGTTGTTCACTTCTGAGATGATGCAGAGCAGCACTGCATGCCAGAGTGCGCGGCTGCCATTGTTGTGCATGTTGTTGGGATCCTCCGCTGTTTGTGTCTGAGCACAAATATACAGGCACTGCCAGGCCTGGTCAGAGTACCAGGACACCATGCATGAGGACTGCCTGAGTGTCTGTCCCAAACAACCAGGCTCTGTCTAGAGGCATAACCACTCACTCACTCATATCACAGTATCGTTTCAAATCCAGTCGAAGACTACAACTTCTCATACCCAAAATATTAACTGGAATTGCTCAAAAGCTTCTAAAGCGTAACCAGGCGGCACTTAAGAACCTAAAAAAGCATGGCTACATCTAAAAAAACCCTGCTGTTTATAGCTATCTTCTAAGTCTTATTTTCCTCTTGGCCCTGTTTAACCCTCGTCTTCTGCTTTGCCTGTCTGAAACTCATCACGTGTTGTCTGTCACCCTCACCACATAATTCTCACTTTGTCACCACTTTACCCCCACAACCTTATCACCACACCTCAAGACCATGTTCCTTTTCTACCTCCCATACTTGTAAAATAACTTGGACACTATGGGGCATTTGCTAACTTTTCCCGTTGACATCAATGCATGGTTAAGTGACTTATGTCGAAGTTAGGATTCACCTAGAACATTGTAATTGGTTGCCAAAACAACGGAGGAAAGAAAATGAACATTGAGTTTCTCTTTATAAAAACCAAATCAAGTGTTTGTCCGTTTGTTTTCTATTATAACTGAGTTCTTTGGTCTCTCTTTCTCTGTGCTTTCTCTCTCGTGGATATTTCTGTTTTGTAGGAAAGTGCTTCCTTGGCAGATAGATTGATCCAGGTATAAACTTCATTTTCTCCTCCACTATCCCCTCTCATCCCTCTTACATTGCACTTTCCCATCTCAAATGTCTTAATCTCAATGTAGCGTTGCATGCTCATGATTTGACCTTTAAATGATAGCACAATAAATGTCAATTAAAAAAAAAATATATATATATATTAATGTAAAATAAGGATATCGAAATCAGATCGCTTTGGTGAAAACCTAGGATTCAAGAAGTGCATGTAATCACCCATAACAGCATGCCTAAGTATCTTGAAACATGCCAAAAGAAAATGCTTAGAGCGTATCAGTCAGAGTCCACCAATGAGACTCAATCAAAAACCTTTGCACGAGAAAAAACAGCATGCGTTTCAAAATTAAAAACTCCCAATCCTGTTTTATTTATATAATCTTTGATTTGCCCATCCCTTCCGTCCATCCCACCCCCGTGGTGCTCCCTGCTCACCCCAACCTCGGTTGGTTATGTCCTAAAGGGACAAGTGACACGCGCCCAGGAGGCAGAGGAGACCTACCTGGTCATGCGGGAGCTGGCCACGGTCAGGCAGCAGAGCGAAGAGGCCACAGCTCAGCTGGAGCTGGCACAGAGCACCATCAGGGAGCTCCAGCAGAGACCACTATTGGTAAGGAGTAGCACAGTGCTCAAGTTCCTGTATGGCTCAGTTGGTTTAGTGTGACGATGACAATTCCAGGGATGTATGCACTCACTGTACTGTAAACCGCTTTGGATTAAAGCGCCTGCTAAGTGGCACATATTACAGTGCCACCTCTGGGAGGGATGATCACCAGCCCAGGCCTGGTCAACCCTCCATCCATCAGGCTAGGATCAGTGGTCTGGTCTCTACGACAGGAACCATGTTTGACTCAGGGGCAGGATATTGGGATTGTTGAAATGTCTCCTGATGTGGGGTGACTATTTTGGCTTGTTGATGTTCACTATTTAATGGGAGGATTTCTTATAAATGTCAGATAATCATGAGATTTGAATAACATTGCAGCTTTTGTTATAGCATTGGATGCATGGGCAGTGACTGAATACAGAGTTTATTCTGTCCACGTTCATGTCTTGAGGACTAGCCATGTTAGACAGTGCCTTCGGAAAGTATTCAGACCCCTTGACTTGTTTCACATTTTGGTAGTTTACGGCGTTATTCTAAAATGTATTAAAATGTTTTTTCCCCTCATCAATCTACACACAATACCCCATAATGACAACGCAAAAACAGGATTTTATAACTTTTTGCTCATTTCTATTTAAAAAAAATACGGAAATATCACAGTCACATAGGTATTCAGACCCTTTACTCAGTACTTTCTTGAAGCACCTTAGGCAGCGATTACAGCCTCGAGTCTTCTTGGGTATGACGCTACAAGCTTGGCACACCTGTATTTGGGGAGTTTCTCCAATTCTTCTCTGCAGAGCCTCTTAAACTCTGTCAGGTTGGATGGGGAGCGTTGCTGCACAGCTATTTTCAGGTCTCTCTAGAGATGTTCTATCGGGTTCAAGTCCGGGCTCTGGCTGGGCCACTCAAGGACATTAAGAGACTTGTCCCAAAGCCACTCCTGCATTGTCTTGGCTGTGTGCTTAGGGTCGTTGTCCTGTTGGAAGATGAACCTTCGCCCCAGTCTGGAAGATGAAACTCCAAGCTGTCATATGCCTTTTACTGAGGAGTGGCTTCTGTCTGGCCACTCTACCATAAAGGCCTGATTGGTGGAGTGCTGCAGAGATCGTTGTCGTTCTGGAATGTTCTCCCATCTCCACAGAGGAACTCTAGAGCTCTGTCAGAGTGACCATCAGGTTCTTGGACACCTCTCTGACCAAGGCCCTTCTCCCTCAATTGCTCAGTTTGGCCGGGCGGCCAGCTCTAGGAAGAGTCTTGGTGGTTCCAAACTTCTTCCATTTAAGAATGATGGAGGCCATTGTGTTCTTGGGGACCTTCAATGCTGCAGAAATTTTTCGGTCCCCTTCCCCAGATCTGTGCCTCGACACAATCCTGTCTCGGAGCTCTACGGACAATTCCTTCGACCTCATGGCTTGGCTTTTGCTCTGACATGCACTGTCAGCTGTGGGACCTTATATAGACAAGTGTGTGCCTTTCCAAATCATGTCCAATCAATTGAATTTACCACAGGTGGACTCCAATCAAGTTGTAGAAACATCTCAAGGATGATCAATGGAAACAGGATACACCTGAGCTCAATTTCGAATCTCATAGCAAAGGGTCTGAATACTTATGTAAATAATTTATTTCTGTTTTTTATTTGTAATACATTTGCAAAAATGTCTAAAAACCTGTTTTCGTTTTGTCATTGTGGGGTATTGTGTGTAGATTTCTGAGGATAAAAAATAAATGTATTTTTTTTTTTTAGAATAAGGCTGTAACGTGACAAAATGTGAAAAAAGTCAAGGGGTCTGAATACTTTCCGAAAGCACTGCATGTATATCCTGTGTTAGCAATGTTTACTTTTCACACTTAATCAAAATATGTACACTGCTTAGCAACAAATTCGCAGTTAGTGAAGGTGACAGTGAAATGGATTCTCCCCACCTCTTCACTGCAGAACACACTCTATCTCTCTCTGTCTCTCTCTCACTCTATACATAATGATCCTGTGTGCATGCATGACTTCAAATTGGTACATGCTGTTTGCGCAGTGCAGCCACCTTTTGCAGTCATTAGCATACTCCTAGAAAGGATTCATGAATTTATAAGGCGCTGCTGTCTGATGTGGGTGTATATAACGTGGAGTCAGAGCTGTTGGTGTGTGTGGTACCCCAGTGGGACCCACTCTTGGTGCTAAACAGACCCTTTAATATTGATGAGCTGATTTAGTGAAACATGTTGTGATGTCTGCACTGCAGTGTTTTACATAACGTGCTCTCTTGCTCTGACAATGAGCTGCTATATTCATTAAACATTTATAATGCGTTGGAAGAGTGAGGCTAATTTGTTGTCCTCTGTGGAAATCAAGGATGACATTTGAGAATATGTTTTTGAAAGTGAACTGCCATACTACTTGGTGTATTTTAGAGGGGGTTGTTAGTGGTGTGCAATTGAACAAGGTAGCTAGCTACAGCACAATAAATATGTATTTCTCGTGCTGATTGCTCAACAATCATATTTTTTTTCTCCACAATACTATGTTTATATATACAAATCTATTGAGTGAAAATGTATAACATTTTATATTGTTTCGAAGCAATGTGTGTATTGTAATTTGATTTTAAGTAGGTCATTTGAATTACCAGTGTTATTTCGAGATTCTAACACATTATTCCTACTCAGACTAACCTAAAGGACACTATTGGCCGGTTTCCCGGAGGCAGATAAAGCCTAGTCCTGGACTATAATGCACCATAAATGGAGATTCTCCGTTGGCTAATTTGAGTTCTGGGAAACCATTTCAATAGGTGTATGAAAGAAGAGTTCTTCCTCACTCTCTCCTGTTCCTCCTTCTCCTTCCTCCCTACTGTAGAAGGGTAACCCGCGCTACACAGAGGAGTCTATCCTGCAGCTGGAGAGAGAGCTGGTTCAGGCCAGGCTAAAGGAGGCGGAGTCACAGTGTGCCCTCAAGGAGATGCAAGACAAGATCCTGGACATAGAGAAGGTGTGTTACCTGGCTCAGACTGTCTATCATGAACTCTCTCACTGTCACAGTGCCGCCTAGTCCAACTCCTCTGTCAGGCATTCCACCTGGAATAGGCAAACGTTATGGGATATTGCAGATATAAATGTCATGACTAGAGCTGATGTGATTCCGTTTCTACATGTAGAGACTAGAGGCATGTTTGTTCTACATTAGGAATGCACATTTCATAAAATGTAGCTGCAGACTAACTGACCCCCATTAACCAGTTAACAACCGGTTAAATTTGTTTTGTAAAATGATGCAACCAACAGAAAAGAATATGCATGCATACAAGGAACTAGGGCTGGGACGATACCAGTATTGCAATACTTGTTAGTATCGTGGCAAAGAAACAAAATGCGAAGCGGATTTAACTTCTTGAGGAAACAGACCTAATGTTGGAAACAAACATTATGTTTTCATCCAGAGTCACATTTATTTAGGGGTCTATTCAATCCACATTGCGGAAATTCAGCTTTACAGCATGATAGATTAAATGTTTTAATAGTTGTTGTTTTTTAAAACATACAAACGACAACATACAGCCACACACAAACATCCACAACATCACCCCTGCCCAGACCCACCTGCTCACACCCCAATCTCCAGTGCCCGCATCACTCTCTGCCACATGACCTCAAACTGCACCATTTTGTTTCTGTACATTGCCCACGCACTTTCAACATTTAGATAATAAAGCATTTGGCCTTTCCATTGTGTTAACGATGGGGGATTGGTTGATTTCCAGTTAAGTATACGTTTTTGAAGATGATTGACGAGAAAAGTATTGTCCAACCCATCGGGTGTCTCACTGCACCCTGAGTGAGAATTTTGTCTCTTGTGTAATAAATTCTATACATTAGTTTAAACTGGATTAAGCGTAATTTCCTAAATTATGTTCAGGGGTGAAAGGAAGGCAGTGTGGTCCGGTACGTCATTCCGGCAAAATAAACAGTGGGGGTATGCCGTACCGGTAAAACATGAGCCTATCACAATAATTAAAACAAAATGTCAAGAAAACTGTAGGCTATTACACCATGATTTATCATTCCCATATGTCGGAGGCTTGAAGATGTCTTTCCATTCCCCACTGTTTAGAGGCTGGAAATATGTTGGGAGTGCACGGGTAGCCTAGTAAAGGAACCCTTTGACAATCAGATGAAAACATCATGACTGGTTGAGTTTATGCCACAATAAAAGGTCATACATTTTAAAAGTTTAATGACAAATCTTTGACCAACAGAGATGCTATTGAGTTAATAGGGATTCTAAATGTAATTATATGATTAGGCCCCACAGCCGGCCAGCCTATTAGGCAGGATTCGAAAGCAGCCTAGAGCGGCAGTTTGACGAGGGCGGCATTTTCCGAGCTAAACTGACCAAGACGCACCTCCAACAACAACATAACACCTCACATTATTCTGCCCCAAAACAATGATAACTTCTCTCACCCAGTGGCATGAGGGCTATTTAAGTGAGCGCTGATGCCGCCCCATGATAAGTAAGCAGTGCCCACTTTTCCAAAGGCAGGGGCTCAAAATATTTAGCTTGTCCATGCCCAGCGTGCCTCGCCATGGTGATGTTGGAGAGACCAACGCTTCCTCAAATTAATTTAATATAGCCTAAATAATGTAGCCTACGGTAGAAACAGTAGTAGCCTATGTGTGTTAAAAAAATGTTGTAGCTCATAAACTGGAGACCAAATGTATGACAATGTCACGAGACAGACACTTTTTCAATCATGAACTTATTAATGAGGAGAGAGAGTGCAGGAGAAAGTCAACTAAAAAGGCAAGTGGGCAGATATCAGCTTTGGAGTGGCTGCGGCATAATCAAACAGTGGTGGACAGCAAATGGTGCTGAAAGTAATTCATTTCAACAACATTTCTTCATTTTAATTCGACTTCACTAACAACAAGAGGGCTTTGTTGGAGCCTATTTCTTCCTATTCAATAAAATAAGAGGTCGGCCTGCCTGTTTGACAGACGCAATTATGGTATCCATAGATTTGTCCAAATCCTCCAATACTGTCATGTCACCATGCACTCCTTAAATACACAAAATGACCAAAAGTATGTGGACAGCTGCTCGTCAAACATCTCATTCCAAAATCATGGGCATTAATATGGAGTTGGTCCCCCCTTTGCTGCTATAACAGCCTCCACTCTTCTGGGAAGGCTTTCCACTAGATGTTGGAACATTGCTGCGGGGACTTGCTTCCATTTAGCCACAACAGAATTAGTGAGGTCTGGCACTGATGTTGGGCGATTAGGCCTGGCTCGCAGTCTGCGTTACAATTCATCCCAAAGGTGTTCGATGGGGTTGAGGTCAGGGCTCTGTGCAGGCCAGTCAAGTTCTTCCATACCGATCTCAACAAACCATTTCTGTATGGACCTCGCTTTGTGCGCGGGGGCATTGTTATGCTGAAACAGGAAAGGGCCTTAAACTGTTGCCACAAAGTTGGAAGCACAGAATCTTCTAGAATGTCATTGTATGCTGTAGCGTTAAGATGTAGATTTCCTTTCACTGGAACTAAGGGGCCTAGCCCGAACCATGAAAAACAGCCCCAGACCATTATTCCTCCTCCACCAAACTTTGCAGTTGGCACTATGCGTTGGGGCAGGTAGCGTTCTCCTGGCATCCATAAAACCCAGATTCGTCCGTCGGACTGCCAGATGGTGAAGCGTGATTCATCACTCCAGAGAACGTGTTTCCACTGCTCCAGAGTCCAATGGCGTCGAGCTTTACACAACTCCAGCCGATGCTTGGCATTGCACATGGTGATCTTAGACTTGTGTGCTGCTGCTCGGCAGCTTATGGTAGAGAAATGAACATTAAATTCTGGTGGATATTCCTGCAGTCAGCATCCCAATTGCACGCTCCCTCAAAACTTGAGACATCTGTGGCATTGTGTTGTGTGACACAACTGCACATTTTAGAGTGGTCTTTTATTGTTCCCAGCACAAGGTGCACATGTGTAATATTATGCTGTTTAATCAGCTTCTTGATATGCCACACCTGTCAGGAGGATGGATTATCTTGGCAAAGGAGAGATGCTCAGTAACAGGGATGTAAACAAATTTGTGCACAACATTTTAGAGAAATAAGCATTTTTTGAGTATGGAACATTTCTGGGATCTTTTATTTCAGCTCATTAAACATGGGACCAACACTTTACACATTGCGTTTATATTTTTGTTCAGTATATATTTTCATAGAAGCTTTTAAAATGGTAATTGATCTTGTTGTTCTAATTAATACATTTGTATCTTTTAAAATTACAACTTAACTAACTTTTGCGAGTATGAGATTATCATTCCCCTAACGTACGCCTTAAAAGCATCTCAAATTATATTGCGGGTTGGCTGTTCTCTGTCCTCTGCCTACATTTGTAATGGTAAAGGTTTTAATTTTTTCATTTACGTATTTAACCTCATCACAAGGTTCCCCATATCCGGGGTATTCCTCCCGCAATCTCAAACAATGACGTAGTATGGTTTTTAAACGTGTGAATACCTGAATGTTATACACCACTGGAACGAGAAGCGTCTCAACTGTGAATCTAGCTAAACTGTTGTTGTCCAAATGAAATAATATTCAGACTCCAAACAAATATACAGTGAGGGAAAAAGGTATTTGTCCCCTGCTGATTTTGTACGTTTGGCCACTGACAAAGACATGATCAGTCTATAATTTTAATGGTAGGTTTATTTGAACAGTGAGAGACAGAATAACAACAAAAAAATCCAGAAAAACGCATGTCAAAAATGTTATAAATTGATTTGCATTTTAATGAGGGAAATAAGTATTTGACCCCTCTGCAAAACATGACTTAGTACTTGGTGGCAAAACCCTTGTTGGCAATCAGAGGTCAGACGTTTCTTGTAGTTGGCCACCAGGTTTGCACACATCTCAGGAGGGATTTTGTTCCACTCCTCTTTGCAGATCTTCTCCAAGTCATTATGGTTTCGAGGCTGACGTTTGGCAACTCGAACCTTCAGCTCCCTCCACAGATTTTCTATGGGATTAAGGTCTGGAGACTGGCTAGGCCACTCCAGGACCTTAATGTGGTCCTTCTTGAGCCACTCCTTTGTTGCCTTGGCCCTGTGTTTTGGGTCATTGTCATGCTGGAATACCCATCCACAACCCATTTTCAATGCCCTGGCTGAGGGAAGGAGGTTCTCACCCAAGATTTGACGGTACATGGCCCTGTCCATCGTCCCTTTGATGCGATGAAGTTGTCCTGTCCCCTTAGCAGAAAAACACCCCCTTAGCATAATGTTTCCACCTCCATGTTTGACGGTGGGGATGGTGTTCTTGGGGTCATAGGCAGCATTCCTCCTCCTCCTCCAAACACGGCGAGTTGAGTTGATGCCAAAGAGCTCGATTTTGGTCTCATCTGACAACAACACTTTCACCCAGTTCTCCTCTGAATCATTCAGATGTTCATTGGCAAACTTCAGACGGCCCTGTATATGTGCTTTCTTGAGCAGGGGGACCTTGCGGGCGCTGCAGGATTTCAGTCCTTCACGGCGTAGTGTGTTACCAATTGTTTTCTTGGTGACTATGGTCCCAGCTGCCTTGAGATCATTGACAAGATCCTCCCGTGTAGTTCTGGGCTGACTCCTCACCGTTCTCATGATCATTGCAACTCCACGAGGTGAAATCCTGCATGGAGCCCCAGGCCGAGGGAGATTAAACAGATCTTTTGTGTTTCTTCCATTTGCGAATAATCGCACCAACTGTTGTCGCCTTCTCACCAAGCTGCTTGGCGATGGTCTTGTAGCCCATTCCAGCCTTGTGTAGGTCTACAATCTTGTCCCTGACATCCTTGGAGAGCTCTTTGGTCTTGGCCATGGTGGAGAATCTGATTGATTGATTGCTTCTGTGGACGGGTGTCTTTTATACAGGTAACAAGCTGAGATTAGGAGCACTCCCTTTAAGAGTGTGCTCCTAATCTCAGCTCGTTACCTGTATAAAAGACACCTGGGAGCCAAAAATCTTTCTGATTGAGAGGGGGTCAAATACTTATTTCCCTCATTTTTGACATGCGTTTTTCTGGATTTTTTTGTTGTTATTCTGTCTCACTGTTCAAATAAACCTAACATTAAAATTATAGACTGATAATTTCTTTGTCAGTGGGTAAACGTACAAAATCAGCAGGAGATCAAATACTTTTTTCCCTCACTGTATAAGCATATAGCAAAACCAGTACTGTATTTTGAAACCGTGCATGCCCGTATATTCGTAGACAGTTAACTTATTTTTCTCAACCTTATTCCAACAAACTGCGTCTTACCTTTGTCGTTTTTGTTACCAAAAGTAGTGTCTGATCAAATAAAACCACTTGAAAAGATACTCTAGTGTCTCTCTCATTCCGAGTCGATTTCAATGAGTTTCCATCGTTTTACATGGCCAACAATGTGTTTGAAGATTAAGTCAGTTTGTTTCAATTACAACAGGCACTGTTTTCTCGCATCTTCTGGATATATGATGCAATCACAGTGGCTTGCAATTGTGCTAATTTAATTATACTGATCCAGAGCTTTCGATAGAGGGGGTCACATGTCAAAATCGACCAACCGGTTGTTGAAATATCCAAGTGCGCACCTCATTGTCTCATATTAGTTGACTTGCTGCATTACGCACGGTTACGCAGAGTGCACAACAGCACTTAAATTTCGGTGTATAAAAATATGGCAGGCTCTAGTAACAAATATACAGTTACAGAGGCGTTATTAATTGTAACAGATGAAAGTTGGACTCCATGTATCCCCATTGACTCTGAACCGGACGATGAGGACCTGCTTAGACCGGACGAACCAGACCCCAACGACGAGAACGAAGGTTATCGTGTCCAGGGCCCTACTCAAGCATCAGAAGAGTATGTAATCCCATTGTTATTTATTACTTCTAATACTACTATTACTAATTTATTGTATGAGTACAAAACATACATTCTAAAATATCTATTTGAGTAACTGAAGCTCAAGTTAGCGCTAGCTTAGCTTCGAGGCCCACAAGCAAGTTTACTTACAATAGAATGCTATGTGTATTATTTCTTGTCACTGAAATATCACTTTAGTCAACATTCTCATAGTTCTAACTATTTATTTTATATATCTGACTGTTTTGAGTCAGATTTGTCAATGAATGAATACAAGTGTGTTTTAGTCATGATTTTCTTTTGTCTTGTTTGCACAGTGAAGATGATTATAGGGGTGATGAGCCACAGCCAGAGCATCTGCCTCCTCAGCCACTGCTTCCCCTTCCTCAGGCAGAGCCTCCTCTTCCTCAGCCTGGCCGCTTGTCTAGACAACGCACTTCTGCTCCCCTCCCTCGGCCACGGTCTTCATCGGACACTGAGTCCCCTGTAAAGAGCCCTCAACCCAAAAGAAAAGGGAAAGCTTTCTCAAAGTCAGCGCATCCAAGTCAGCGTGGTGGAGGTAGGCCTGCCACTCCAAGAGTCGGGGAGGAAGAAGAGGAAGAAGAAGATAGGTGGCATAATAGAGAAGAGAATGATGAACGACCAGACCCAATCCGGTTTATGCCCACCAGAGTCCCAGGACCCACAATCGACACCACTGCGTCATGGTCTCCCCTTTCCTTTATCCGACGCATTGATTGGATACTACAGTGTTCACCACAAGACGATGAAATGGTATAAGACTTTTCTTTTTCATTTTGTTGATATTGCTGTTGTAAATAGTTTCCTACTTCACAAAGAACTCCATAAGAACAACCCCACTAAGCCGTACACACAGAAGAAGTTCAGGGAAAAGCTACTCACAGAAATGGTGAGCTTTGCTAAACAGTCTGAACCACAACCTCCACCACGACCACCACCAACATCCTGCATGCCAGAATACTATGGTGATGATGCCAGCAAAGACAGGAAGAACTGTAGGAGATGTCTGGATGTTGGCATCCCCAAAGTGAAAACACCTGTGTACTGCAGGAAGTGCCAAGTCCCTTTGTGCATTACATCAAAGTGTAACTGTTTCAAGGATTTGCACGATAGCAAGTTTTAGGGTAAAAATGGTCTACATTTTGTGTGACAACCCACCCAAGGACACCATATCATTGTTTATAGTTTTGGGATGTGTGGACTTTTTGTTTTTACATTTGTTGTTTATAGTTTCTAATAAATCTGCTCAGTTTGGAGTCAAACTTTCCCATTGTATGGTTTATTTTAATGGGAACACGTATAGAGGTCTGGGAGAACATTGGAAACAACATCAAAACAGTTGTATTTTGATGGAACGTACACATATAGTGATATGTTAGTGAAATTAAATTACTTTTGCTGTCTGGTACCTGATAAAAGTCAAATGGCACTGATGGTGCCCAAATGTCTCCATTTGGTAATCCGCCTAAACATACTTCAACTAAAACCCCTACAACTCATCAGATATTGGGCTATGGTCCCATAGAATTTAGGGGCTGCAGCTGCATAAGTCCAATAAAGCATTTCCTATAAAACCTGAAGTTACTTTCAGGCGGAATCAAAACCTCCCAATTTTATGCTATGTTCTAGCATCATGTACTCTGACACAGGAATACCCACATTAATTATTTCACTTAAAGATACATATCGCCTGTGTTACCTTTCTTTTGCTACCAAGATTATGTTTATAGCCCTTGTTGTTTTGGAGATATACTCTATTCAATTTGGGCATGCATTTTCGAGGCAGGCACTTTAGCCAGGTGCCTAGTGATGAAGAGGTTAATACATTTTGGGTCTTGAAGATGCGCTCTGTTCATTCTCCATATTCTTTCGCTAAGTGTATTTTCTGTTGGTGTAATTAAGTGTGATACCGGAGAATGATCCGATATCATGGATTTTTTTAACCCAATAAATTGTTGAGAGCATTTTGGAAATGAATATGTTGGTAGTCAATTCTTGAATAGCTTTTCTTATTTTGAGGGGAAAAATGAGCAGTCTTATGTAGTTGGCAATAGTAACCAGGTGTCTTGTAAATTATTTGTAGAGATGACGTTTTTCAGCCTTTTTGGAGGTTCCTTTTTTGAATTTGCCTTTTTTATTGCTACTTCTGTCAATCTTATCGAATGTATGATTTAGGTCGCCTGCTAAACTAATTGTTCCTGTCTGGATTTGATCTAATAGCTTAAATCCTATCTAAAAACACCACATTTGCCCTGGTAGGATATACAATGAAATCAATGTGTATTTTTCACCATGTAAGGTACAATTCAACATTAGAAAATGGCCTTCTTGGTCCGTTTGCTGGGATCTAAGGGAAAATGGTGTATTATTATTTATCAGCATGCCTACACCTCTGCTGTTACTACAGTAGGTGGCAGTATTGGCCTCTCCAACCCAGCTCTTTAAATATTCAATTTCTCCTTTTTTGAAATGTAACTCTTGCAGGAAAACCACATCTGCTGACAATCTCTAAGTGTTCAAGAATCATATGTTTTTTTTCCCATCATGGAGCCTGTGCACATTCCATTTTATAAATTGGATTATGTTGGTCTTTAATTGTATAAAATCAAAGTTAACTTTGTCTGTTCCGTCTATCATTGAAGAACCAGATAAAACATTTTAGCAGGCGCTATGCCTTTTTAGGGCTTTTAAGCGCCAACTCCTCTCCTAATGTACCAAAAGTCTGTGGATTATGTAATTGTACATACATTGGAGAAAGACTGCCACTTAAGTATTGTGGTCAGTTTGTATTACCTACTAAATTGAAATATAGTGGCTGGTGGGTGTCTACATGGGGAGAGTGGGTCCACCGAGAGACTGGAGTGAGATGAGTGGAGGCCCCACACACACACCTCAGATACATTTTTGATGCCCTCCCAGTCACCCCGTCCCAATCCCTTGGATAGAGCCACCAATAACCACCATTGTATCTTAGCTATAATGATAAACAAGGAATAATGACTCAACATCTTCTCTTAATCTGTCCCAAACTCTTTTTCATTTTACAACAGGTTTGCAAGTCACAAAAATAAATAGAATTACATTGAAGTATAGTTAAATCGTAGCTGGAAAGATCTCCTTGTTCCTCATCTTCCAGTAAGGACAATATTTTCATGTTTCGTCTCATTCTGTTTCTCATTCTGTGTTTGTGCGTGTCTGACACGATTGCCTCTACTTTCTTTTCGAGTGAATCCACTTTTGTAATAAGATTGTAGCAGTTCATTTGTTTTGGTGTGCATTGAGAGCATTTAAGCGATGTTTTCCTGGATAGCCTTTAACTGTTCATTTCACTGTTTGTGTCTCCAAGTTGCTCCGCCTCGTCCTTTCCTCTGGGGTAAGCCATGGATTGTTGGATTCATGTCGCCGCGCCGCTTTACCATCTGATTGGTTCGCTGTTGTACGCAACCGATCGCTCACTCTCCCCAGTTGCTTGGGAATATGTTGATTTATCGGTTTTAGAGGCTTTATTTAAACTTTGTTGTCTAGTTTCTACATATAACCATACGTTTGTCGGTACAAAACAGACCTATTCACTCCCCATGCGTCCTATCGGTACGCACATGCCCCTCTCCTGCCGTCGTGGTTGAAATTTAAAGGCAATGTTCCCGCTTTAGTGGAGACTGCATTCACAGTAAACGCTGCTTATGTCGGCACAATCGGAAATTACTTTTACATTTTTATCGGGGATTCTGTAACGTTTCAGCTTTACAGATTGAATAGAGTCCTTAGTCACACAATATTTTACATACAGCAGGTTTTTAAAGGACCAAAGAGTTTGTTCTGCTCCGGGTTTTCATTTTTTGCCATGGAAAAAATATTGCGATACTGGTACCGTCACAGCCCTACAAGGAACATAACATTTTTGGGACTTTCATCCAAACATGCAACAATATTATGTAACATGCAACTACTGTAATGAAGCAGCCAATGTAAAACTACATTTTCAAACATTTGCCAAAATGCAATTGGCGGGAAAACACTGTTCTAAAAAGCGCACCTGATGCGAGTGGTTTCATGTGACAGAGATGAAATTCTGAATAGAATCTACATAATATATTTTTCTATCTGTAAATTCCACAACGTTGTGCCCTGCTGAACACATCCCTGGTATTTTATTGTCCCTCTCCAGCATACTCCATATCCTGAAATTGGGTCTTCTCAGTCATTGTTTTGGTTGTGACTGTTTGTGTTTCTGTCTCTCACCTCAGAGGAACACATCTCTGCCAGATGACACCAACGTAGTGCGGTTGCAGGAGGAGCTGATAGCAGTGAAGCTGAGAGAGGCTGAGGCTGTGACGGGGCTGAAGGAGCTCAGACAACAGGTCAGAGACCTGGAGGAGCACTGGCAGGTAAGGAACATCTTAATATAGTATAATATAGTATAATTTATGAGG